ACACACACACATCTCAGTTATCTACTGCTGCATAACATATCACTGCAAACCTTTGTAACTTAAATAACTACAACCATGGTATTATCTCACAACTTCTTTGGGTCAGGAATTCAGGAAAGGCTTGTCTGCGTGGGTCTGGCCTGGGTTCTCTCCTGCTGCTGCTCTGCGACTACAGCTAGATGGGAAAAGTGGGGGCTAGAGGAGCTGAGGCGTTGTCCTCTCCCTTCACACATCTTAGAGACCCTCCACATGGTCTAGTCGGGGATTTCGCAAGGTGTGGCAGCCTCAGGGTTCTCAGATGTCTCACTGGGAGGCTCAGGACTCCTACAGAAAGCAAGTCACGGGCTAACAAGGTGGATGGATGCCGCCTTTCCTTCATGACCTAGCCTGAGAAGTCACACTGGGGCACTTCCGCCACAGACTATTGGTTACAAGCGAGTCAACAAGCCCGTTAGATTGAAGGAGAGTGGAATTAGATGCTGTGTCTTGCTGTGGGAATGGCAAGATTCTTGAAGAGTACGTGGGACAAGAGATATTATATTACTGTAGTCATTTTTATGTTATTATTTTGAGATGGAGTCTTGTTTGTCACCCAGGGTGGAGTGCAGTGGCACAATTTTGGTTCACTGCAGCCTCCGCCTCCCAGGTTCAAGCGATTCTCCTGCCTCAGCCTCCCAAGTAGCTGGAATTACACTTGCACGCCACCATGCCCAGCTAATTTTTGTATTTTTAGTAGAGACGAGTTTCACCATGTTGGTCAGACGGGTCTGAAACTCCTGACCTCAAGTGATCCACCCGCCTCGGCCTCCCAAAGTGCTGGGATTATGGATGTGAGCCACTCTACTCAGCTTCTTGCAGCCATTTTCAAATAATACAATCTGTGGGGGATAAGCCTGGAAAGAAAAGCAGGTGACACATCATACCAGGACCTGTAAGCCACATTTTTTTTTTTCTGAGAGAGAGAGTCTTGCTTTGTTAGCCAGGCTGGAGAGCAGTGGTACGATCATGGCTCACTGCAGGCTCGAGTTCCTTCATAGGTGTGCCTCAGCATGGCTGGTTAATATTTGCAGAGATGCAGTCTCACTATGTTGCTCGGGCTGGGCTCAGGCCATCCACCCATCTTGGCCTCCCCACGGGCAGGAGCCACACAAATTTAGATCTTGATATGAACAGTGATGAAGAACCACTAGAGGAAGTTTTATGTTTTGTTTTCATCACTGGACAGTTTTAAGCAAGAGAGTGAAATGTTTGGTTGTCTGTAAAAGTTTGTTCTAGCAGCCGTGTGGGCGGAGTTCATGGGAAGGGGTCTGTTCTCACAGCCGTGTGGGCGGAGTTCGTGCGGATGGTCTGTTCTAGCAGCCGTGTGGATAGAGTTCATGGGGAGGGTTTTGTTCTAGCAGCAGTGTGGATAGAGTTTATGGGAAGGGGTCTGTTCTAGCAGCCATGTGGATAGAGTTTGTGGGGAGGCTTTGAAAGCACAGACCATTCAGGAGAGGACCCAAAAGACCCAGGGCCAGACCTGGCGGTTGGCCTCAGCCTGGGTAAGTGTAAGGAATAGAGAAGTTCTTCAAAGTTTTTATCTTAGGCCTTAAAGAGTAACAAATTTTTACTTTAAAGTCCCCATCCATGATTAGCCCCTGTATTCCAGCCCAGCTAGGGGCTCTGACTCTCTTGGGCATGCAAGTCCCAGCCCACTGTTGATGCCGTTCCTTATTTGGAGACGCTTCCTTGACCATCTGGTAAGCATCTTCCTCTTTTCTTTGTTCTCTCCCCCTTTGTCTATTTAGAAAAGTTTTAGGTTATTAGCCAGTTGGATAAAGTATAGAATGTGAGGTTCTGCTCCAGCCAGTGGAGGCCGGATACAGTAGTAGGGAGGATGCGTCAGGTTATAAATAGTGCTGTCTCCTTTGTTTGGTGCACTCTCGTGGCCACACTGCTGGAGAGCAGTGTCCTTTCTGCAGAAAGTAAAAGAAAGCCTTGCTGAGAAGGCTTTTGTCTGAATGCTGATTCTTCCCTGCAACGTGGGAAGATAAGCACTTATTCCCAACAGTAAGGGACGAGGGAGAGGGTGTGGGACATGGAAGGCCGCCAGGTTTCTGGCCATTCCAGCAGTTTTGTTCACTGTGATGGAAAACCATGGAGAAGTAAGTTTGTTTGGGACACACTGGCTTTGAGAGTCCAGGGTAGATGCATGAGACTGAAACTTAGGTGATAAAAATTGAGGTGGGAATACACAGCATTTACAAAGGTACAGGAGGCCGGGCATGGGGACTCATGCTTGTGATCCCAGGGCTCTGGGAGGCCGAGGAGGGAAAATCGATGGAGCCCAGGAGTTTGAAACCTGCCTGAAACCTAACACCAAAATTCTTAGCCAGGCTTGGGGGTGGGAGGCCCAGGCGGGAGGATAGTTGAAGCCCGGGAGGTGGAGGCTCCTGTGAGCCACGATAGCGCCACTGCACTTCAGCCTGGGCAACCAAGCAGGACCCTGTCTCAAAAACTAACAATTAAAAATAAAATTTTCAAAAGACAGTCTGGTGCAGTGGCTCACACCTGTAATCCTGGCACTTTGGGAGGCCGAGGCGGGCAGATAAGTTGAGGTCGGGTGTTTGAGACCAGCCTGGCCAACATGGCGAAATTCCATCTCTACTAAAAATACAAAAATTAGCTGAGAATGCCTGAACCCAGAGACGGAAGCTGCCATGAACCACAACTGCACTACCACACTCCAGCCTAGGCGACCGAGCAGGACCCTGTCTCAAAAAATAATTAACCAGGCAGGGCGCGGTGGCTCAAGCCTGTAATCCCAGCACTTTGGGAGGCCGAGGCGGGTGGATCACGAGGTCAAGAGATCGAGACCATCCTGGTCAATATGGTGAAACCCGTCTCTACTAAAAATACAAAAAATTAGCTGGGCATGGTGGTGCGTGCCTGTAATCCCAGCTACTCAGGAGGCTGAGGCAGGAGAATTGCTTGAACCCAGGAGGCGGAGGTTGCGGTGAGCCAAGATCGCGCCATTGCACTCCAGCCTGGGTAACATGAGTGAAACTCCGTCTCAAAAAAAAAATAAATAAATAAAAATAACAATTAAAAATAAAATGTTGAAAAGGCACAGTACTAGACCACAGGCGTGGGCTGCCAGAATTTAAAATCTCCCTGCCCACCTCCCATCCGCGCGGTCAACTGTGCGAGGTTTCCAAAAGACAGAAGCACGTATGCGCACGCCACTGTGGCCTAGGAGGCCCACAGAAGTACGCGCACAACGCTAGGTGCCGAGGGCGCCGACAGAAGCACGCATGCGCACAACGCTCTGTGCGGAGATAGACAGAAGCACGCAATCGCACACCACTGTGGCTGACGTTTCCTACAGACAGAAGCACGCACGCGCACACTGCTGTGCGCCGAGGACTCCCCAACAAAGCACGCATGCGCACACCGCTGTGGCCGAGATTTCTAACACACAGAAGCACGCACGCGCACACCGCCATGTGCCAAGGACTCCCACACAGCAGCAGTATGCACACGCAGCTATGTGCCAAGGTCTCTGACAGAAGCACGCATGCGCACAATGCTATGTGCCGAGGTCTCCGACAGCACACATGTGCACACCACTGTGTGCCAAGGTTGCCAACACAGAAGCACGCATGCGTACACCGCTGTGTGCCGCGGTCTCCGACAGAAGCACACATGTGCACACCTCCAGGTGCCGAGGGCACCAACAGAAGCACGCATGCATGCGCACACCCTGGTCTGCGGGGCTCCAGGCAGAAGTGTCCTGACTGCGCAGGCGCCACGAGGGCAGTCGCCATGGAGACGCGTGGCCCTAGCCTGACCGTCCGAACGCAGAGCCGCCCACTCGTTGGCAGCTGGTCTCAGGAGTCCCCCGGGCGGGTCGCAGCCCAGCGAGCGGGCTGATGGACCGCCGCGGTGGGGCAGGGGCGTCGGGGTATGAAGACGGAGAGGATGACGATGGCGAGGAGGCGGAGCAGGAGGGCGGCGCTGCGGGACCCCGGGGGTCTAGACTGCCCCCCATCACAGGTGGTGCCTCCGAGCTGGCCAAACGAAAGGTGAAGAAGAAGAAAAAGAGGAAGAAGAAGACCAAAGGTTCTGGCAAGGGGGACGGTAAGAGGAGCAGCCAGTACTGCTGCATCAGCTCTGGTACTGGAGATTCTTCCGGGACCCTCCACTCCCGCCAGTCCCAGGGACTCCCATTTATCTGGAGACCCTTCAGACTGGAAACAGAAGCTCAGCGGTCCCAGACAGAGGTCCTCCTGCTCTCCACACATGCCTGTCAGCAGCACAGCGATGCCCCAGCTGCACCCATGGAGACCATCCACCAACTTTACGGTCCCTTAGCCCCACACAGAGACCCCCACAGACATCCAGCATTCCTAAGAGCCTGCTAGCCCCACACAGACACCCTCTCAACTTCCTAATCCCTCAGCCAAAACTGACAATCTTAAACGTCTGCACCTTCCCCACAGAGGCCCTCCTCAAAAGACACTTTCCCCAACCCAAAGACACTGACGCTATATGAAAGAACCTCACTCTAGTGCACAGAGAAACGCAGACTCCTGCCTCTCCTCACACCTCGTGTGTGAAGGCTACTGCTTCTGGATGTGCTGTAGACCCCCCCACACTCACAGACATGCGTATAAAATGTCATCATGCACGGACTCCACCCCACACCCACCAAGGGACTGCACAAACCCCGTTATACCAGTCATTGTGACATCCTCCTATACTCCCGAAACCCTCGACAATGTCCCCGTTCATATCAATATAACACCATCACAGGAAACTAAAGGGTGGGGTACTTTGGGAGGCCAAGGTGGGAGGATCACTTGAACCCAGGACCTCCAGGCTGCAGTGAGCTATGATCACACCCCTGCATTCCAGCCTGGGCAACAGTCAAGATCCTGTCTCTCTAAACAGATAAAAACAACAAAAACTAAAGCATGAGTCCCTGTCATGTACACACATTCACATGCTACAGTCTACACACACACACACACACTCACACACAGACCATTCATACGTCACACATTCACCCTGTCAGGCACACACATTCACACTCTACAGTCTACACACACACACAGACCATTCATGTGTTATGCATTCACCGTTATGCACACATTCACACTCCAGTCTACACACACACACACAGACTGCTCATGTGTTATGCATTCACCCTGTCATGCACACACATTCAGACTCTACAGTCTACACACACATACACACACACACACAGACTGCTCGTGTGTTATGCATTCACCCTGTCGTGCACACACATTCACACTCTATACATACACACACACACACACACACACTCTGTTCATATGTTATGCATTCACATGTGCAGTCGTATGCAGGCAGGAATTGCAGTGTCTCTCAGAGACACCTTCGCAAACACACAGCACCTGCTACAAACCCCCCGTCCCTACATCTCACCAAGCTCTTCTTGTAGAACCCCTAGATTTCTTGACAAAGGGACTGAGCACCCACTTTGAGGAGAGAGGGTGCAGCAGTGACAGAGAATGCAGGTGCTCGTGAGTGCTGTGAGTCCACTGTTACCCATCTGTTCCACCTCAGTGGCTTTGGCTGTCAGGGAGATGGCCCTAAGCTTCAGTTCTAGCCTGGCCCTCTGTGGCAGAGCTGGCACCAAGACAAGCAGGAGGCAGGAGTGGCAGCCTTGCCCACATCCAACATGCAGTGTGGGAAGGGAGCAATAAGAAGATAAGTAGTTCTCACGAAGAAAATTCTGCAGTTCAGGTCAAGAAGCCCCATGTGGGTGGGCGCAGTGGCTCACACCTATAATCCCAGCACTTTGGGAATTCAAGACCGGCCTGGCCAACATGGTGAAACCCCGTCTCCACTGAAAACACAAAAATTAGCTGGGCATGGTGGCAGGCACCTAGAATTGCTTGAACTTGAGAGGCGGAGGTTGCAGTGAGCCAAGACTGTGCCACTGTGCTCCAGCCTGGGTGGCAGAGTGAGACTCTGTCTCAAAAAAAAAGAAACCCTAGGCCAGGCGTGGTGGCTCAGGCCTGTAATCCCAGCACTTTGGGAGGCTGAGGCAGGTGGATCATGAGGTCGGAGTTCAAGACCAGCCCGGCCAACATGGTGAACCTCTTGTCTCTACTAAAAATACAAAAATTAGCCGGGTATGGTAGTGCACATCTGTAATTCCAGCTACTTGGGAGGCTCAGGAAGGAGAATCGCTTGAACCTGGGAAGTGGAGACTGCAGTGAGCCGAGATCATGCCACTGCACTCTAGCCTGGGAGACAGAGCAAGATTCCATCCCAAAAAAAAAAAAAAAAAAAAAAAGCCCCATATATATCTGCAAAAAGAAATTTGGCAGTTCAGTGTCCTTCTGGTGTAGCTTTTCACTGTAGAAATTACAGTGGCATGGCCGGGCACGGTGGCTCACACCAGTAATCCCAGCATTTAGGGAGGCTGAGGTGGGCAGATCACAGTGTTAGGAGATTGAGACCATCCTGGCCAACGTGGTGAAACCCGGTCTCTACTAAAAATTCAAAAATTAGCTGGATGTGGTGGCGGGCACCTGTAGTCCCAGCTGCTTGGGAGGCTGAGGCGGGAGAATCGCTTGAACCTGGGAGGCAGAGGTTGCAGTGAGCCGGGGTTGTACAACTGCACTCCAGCCTGGGCGACAAAGCAAGACCGCATCTCAAAAAAAAAAAAGAAAGAAATTACAGTGGCATGTACCTCATACCGTCGGCAGGGGACACTAGATAGTTTTTAGGGAGTAGAAAGGTAGGGAGACGTCAAAAGATCATGGTTTTTCTTTTCTTTTTTTCTTGGGGAAGGAGATATTTTTCTCTCCCCTAAAATACAAGCATGAGCTGATGAAAGAACCACAATTTGTAGCATTTTATATGCATGTTAAATGATTCTGTCGTGCTATTGATGTAAAAAAATAAATAACAGCACAAGCCACACGGCAGAAGCATTTCTGGCTTGGCATACTGTTGCTTTCATGAGTCAAACTCAGGAGGCTTTTCTGTTCTCCGTTTCTCCCATTATAGACTGTCTAGACGAGGGCACAGTCACAGACTCCCAGACCTGGGAAACGGCCGTGGGGAGCACGCGGTGAGGGTGGGGGGGGCGGCATGGCTGGTGGAAAAATAGGGCACTAGGGCCAGCCCGCACTGATCCCAGCTCTGCCGCTGGCTCAGGACGTTGGCAGGTTCCTGGAGTTTCCTCACCCGAGCAACAGGGCCTTTACCCAGAGGGCCTGGCTCAGTGTCTGCTCAGTGAACTGTTCCTCCCGCCCCAGAATGACTTGAGCAGAAGCACACAGGAAATGGGTGGACACGAGGCCGGTGGGCGTGGCAGCCTGAGCCCTGGGTACAGAGGCCGCCCCTTCCATCTTTGAGTTGGGCACCATCCCCAGCAGGCCTAGAGCAGACCTTGCCCCACCACTAACCCCCTCGTCTCCTCGGCAGACAAACATCAGAGCCAGAGCCCGAAGAGCCGGCCGCCCTCCCCGTCCTTTCACGACATCTTAAGTCCCAGCGAAGACCGAGGCGGGAGACCAGAGCACAGACAGAGCAAGCTGGAAAGCAGGCACCTGCCTTCGGACTCCTCCACCGTCAGCCTCCCCGACTTCGCCCAAGTAGCGGAGACCCTTTCGAACCGGCTCAACGAGAGTCTGCGCTGGGACGGAATTCTCGCCGACCCGGAGGCGGAGAAAGAGAGGATTCGCATCTATAAGCTCAACAGGAGAAAGCGCTACCGGTGCCTGGCCAAGGGCTTCCACTCCAACCCCAACGCCGAGGAGACCCCCGACACCCTGCCCCACCTCTCCGACAGAGACGGCAGCTCCGGCGGCCTGCGGACCACGCTGAAAGCCGAGCCCCCAAGCTCCACCTCGAAGGAAACGTTTCCGCACAGCTTCTACACTCTGTTCAGCTCCCACTCTGCTGCAGTCAAATTCCACCCCCGACCCTGACAAGCTTGCCATCTCTCCTTACCACAAGTTTATACGTAAAGAAGTCATCCTAGGAGGAAGAGAGACCTGTATCTGACTGAAGCCGACGTTTGGCGTGTGGATGAGGCCGACTCTCCCGTCACCAAGATGCCCTCGGGGGCCCAGGGAAGCCGCCGTTCCTTGAGAACAAAAGCAACTTAGTGAGCAGAGTCCTTTCCAGAATTCTCTTTTTCTTAAATAAGCTGACATCTGTTGTTTAATTCCTCACCACGGCTGGATGTCTATCAGCTGCGCCAAAAAGACAAGAAAGTGTGTAGACCACTTACATCTTAAGTCTCAAACGCGCGTGAAACTCCTCACACGGCGCCTGCTTCCGTAGGCCCAGGACAATGCCCTGAATCTCTTGGAGCCTTTTTCTGTTTTAATTAAACACACGGCCTGGCTTTATCTGGCCTCAAAATAAGTGGGTTCCAGAACTTCACCCCTGGAAAGTTACTATGGGAAGTCCCAGAAGGAATACCGCTTCTCTTATAGACATGGTCCTCTCCTAGCCCCCATTATAAAAAGCCTCACTACCCTGCTTCTCCTAAATACACATTCCTCCCGCCACAAATACCCAGTGAGGGAGGGCCGTGTGTTGCCTTAGTTTGTGTTCTCCCAGAAGCAGACCTGGAGACGAGGATTCAAATGCAAGTAGATTACCCAGGAGGTGAAGAAAAGCTGAGAGGGTGAGACAGAGAAGGGAGACGGCCAATCCAGGGACTTTTCTTTTTAGACATGATCCCACTCTGCTGCCCCTGCTGGAGTGCAGTGGTGTGATCACAGCTCCCACTGCCGTCCGCCTCCTGGGCTCAGGCGATCCTCCCATCTCAGCCGCCTGAGTAGCAAGGACTACAGGCGAGTGCCAACACAGCTAATTTTTAAAATTTTTTGTAGAGATGGCGGGGGGTGTTTATGTTGCCCAGGCTGGTCTCGAGCTCCTGGCCTCAAGCAATCCTCCCACCTTGGCCTTCCAAAATACTGGGATTACAGGCAAGAGCCACTGTGCCTGGCCCCACTTCCAGGGACTATGAGGCCAGCTTTCATACTGGGCAACTAGAGCTTAATTCCATAGGGAAACCCACTTCTAGAATTATCCCACCTGAGGGTGAGGAAGCTGGGGTATTTATACTCCCCCAAAGGCACTGGCTGAGGGCTGGTCGTGTGTGTGTGTGTGTGTGTGTGTGTGTGTGTGTGTGTGTGTGAGAGAGAGAGAGAGAGAGAGAGAGAGAGAGAGAGAATCTCCTGGCATTTCTAGCTGAAAGGTCCAAAGACAGAGGGTGGTCTCTGGGGAAGTCTCAGCTACCTCAGCAGCACCATGGGTCTGAAAGGGACAACATGGAGAGCTAAGATGAGATCCCTGACCTTCAAGAGGTTACAGCGTTTTGGGGTAGACAACAAATGAATGTACAGTATACACGGGAGAAGTTAAAAGCTGATACAAATGTCACAGAATGCTCATTTGAAAGTTAAGTGAAAATGGCCGGGCACAGTGGCTCAGGCTTGTAATCCCCACACTGGGAGGCTGGGGCACATGAGCACCTGAGGTCAGGAGTTCAAGACCAGCCTAGCTAATGTGGTGAAACCCTGTCTGCTAAAAGTACAAAATTAGCTGGGTATGGTTGCAGATGCCTGTAGTCCCAGCTACTCGGGAGGCTGAGGCAGGAGAATCCCTTGAACCCAGGAGGCAGAACTTGCAGTGAGCCGAGATCTTGCCACTGCACTCCAGCCTGGGCAATAGAGCGACTCCGTCTAAAAAAAAAAAAAAAAAATAGTTAAGTCAAAGAGGGCATCTTGGTCCTTGCTGGCCCTGGGCTGGCAGAGCAGCCCTCTTCTCACCCTTCCTTAAGGGTTACAGTTAGAGTTTCCACATTCGCCCTCAGGCCCTGTCCAAATACACTGAAGAGATGTTTGGAAGAGTCCTCTCCTGCCATGGAGAAGGGTTAGCAAACAGGAACAGCCCTCCCCTGTGCTGAAGCCAGGCCTGTCTTCCCTGCTGTCCATGGAGAGGAGGGGACAGGAATACTCCAGTGCCAGCCACAGGACCTCACGGGTGCCCCAGGGTGTCAGGGTAAAGGCAGAGAAAGAACAGGGGGCAGCCCTGGGGCGGGCATCTCGTGTGCCCCCCAGTTCCACCATAGCAGCTGGAGCACAGGCCATGAAGGAGCATGAGGGGGCCCTGGGCTCAGACGGTCGCTTCCATGATGGTGAGAGGCAGGGACGGGGTCCGTGGTCGTCTCCCGGCCAGGAGGTAACATTCTGGGAAGGTAGCTAAGATGGTGAGCTTTGAATTAATCAGAGCTGAATTAATCTCTTTCCCACCACCTGCTGGCGTTGTGCCCCAGGCAGCGGCTTCATCTCTCTGAGCCTTAGTTTCCTCATCTCAAAACAGGAGGCAAATGCCTACCTTAGTGCTGTGACAATCAAATGCAGGGAAGCATCTCACCCGGCGCCTGGCACGCAGGAAACAACTGTAAGAGTTTTCATCAGTGGTATTTCAGGTGGTGTGGCCACATGGTTGCTAGAGAGACTGCCCCGTGTCATGGTGGAGACCACCCTCCTGGAAGGGTGAGCTTCATGAGAAAAATCTGGCTTCAGAGGCTGGCAAGAGATAGAATTCACACAAACCACAGGAAGAATGATGGGTCCGGAGCAGGAGAAAGTGGAACAGGAAGGAGCAGGCCCGAAGGCCAGCGCTTAGTGTGTAAAGCTAGAATGCACTGGGACGGAGGCTCCTGGGAGCGCAGAAGCCGCTTCAACTCAAAAAACCTGAGGTTAGAAGTTTTCAGGCTCTTTCTCACACCCAGGCTGTGGCAGTGAGGACTCCTTCAGGGCGAGAAACAAAAAACACAGTGAAAACTGCCTTACAGACCAAGGGGACTCATTGACTTTTGTGTGTGTGTGTGTGAGAGACAGAGTCTTACTCTGCTGCCCAGGCTGGAGTGCAGTGGTGCAATCTCGACTCACTACAACCTCCACCTCCCAGGTTCAAGCCATTCTCCTGCCTTAGCCTCCGGAGTAGCTGGGATTACAGGCACTGCCACCATGCCCAGCTAATTTTTTGTTTTTGTTTTTTTTAAGATGGCGTATTGCTCTTGTTGCCCAGGCTGGAGTGCAATGGCAGGATCTTAGCTCACTGCAACCTCCGCCCCCCAGGTTCAAGCAATTCTCCTGCTTCAGCCTCCCAAGTATCTGGGACTACAGGCACCCGCTACCACGCCCAGCTAATTTTTTTAATTTTTAGTAGAGACAAGGTTTCGCCATGTTAGCCAGGAATGGTCTTGATCTTCTGACCTCATGATCCGCCTGCCTCGGCCTCCCAAAGTGCTGATATTACAGGCGTGAGCCACCACGCCTGGTCAATTTTTGTATTTTTAGTAGAGATGGGATTTCACCATGTTAGCCAGGCTGGTCTAGAACTCCTGACCTCAAGTGGTCCAACCCGGCTGGAATGGTTGCTCTATAAAGCCAACAGTCCAGGGTTGGCTGTAGCTTCAGGCATGGCTGGATCCAGGAGGTCACACTGTGTCATCAAAGTTTCTCTCTCCATATTTCACCTCTGCGTCCTCCATATCAGCTTTATGTTCAGGCAGGTTCTCATCACAGGATGGCAAAGATGGCCACTGACATCCTTATAATTTTGTAACGAAAAGAGAGTTACTCCTCTGTCCCTATCCAGTGTCCATATCAATCCCAAGGTCTCTGGCCTGCCAGAGGTCATATGTCCATCACTGGACTAATCACAGCAGCCAGGTGAATGCAGTGTGTGATGGCTACAGAGACCTCGAATGTGGAGCGGGACAAGGCAGCCCAACAGGAACTGTCAGCTAAACAGATTGTTACAGAAGCTATCCTGAACCTAGCCAGGTGCAGTGGCTTGTGCCTGTAATCCCAGCACCTTGGGAGGCCGAGGCAGGCGGATCACTTGAGGTCAGATGTTCGAAACCAGCCTGGCCAACATGGCAAAACACCATCCTACTAAAAATATAAAAATTAGCCAGGCGCAGTGGCACACACCTGTAGTCTCAGCTACTTGGGAGGCTGAGGTGGGAGAATCGCTTGAACTTGGGAGGCAAAGGCTGCAGTGAGTGATCGCGCCACTACACTCCAGCCTGGGCAACAGAGCAAGATTCCGTCACACATAAAAAAGAATCTATTCAGAATGCCTCTGTCCCTCTCTCTCCTCTCTTTGAGATAGGGTATAGTTTTGTCACACAGGCTGGAGTGCAGTGGCACGATCTAGGCTTACTGCAACCTCCACCTCCTAAGCTCAAGTGATCCTCCCACCTCAGCCTCCTGAGTAGCTGGGACTACAGGCACACATCACTATGCCTGGTTAATTTTTGTATTTTTTGGTAGAGATTGGATTTTGCCATGTTTCCAACGCTAGTCTCAAACTCCTGAGCTCAAGCAATCGGCCTGCCTCAGCCTTCCAAAGTGCTGGGATTATAGGCATGAGCCCCCTCGCTTGGCCATTCCAGAGTCTGTATAGAACACAGAGTGATTTCTCCAGCCTCAGCAACCAGAGTGAAACTCCATCTCAGGAAAAAAGAAATAGAGTGATTCCCCGGAGAAATGACTACTAGAAGAGACTTGCCCATTGCCTTCCGAATGAAGAATGATCCATTTTAATTTTTACTTTTTAATTTTTTATAGCCCATCCAATGACCTATCAAGAATGAATCATTTTTATTTATTTTCTTTCTTTATGCACCATCCGGTGACCTACCAAGAATGATTTGTTTTTAGGGAGGCGCTGTGGCTCACGCCTGTAATCCCAGCACCTTGGGTGGCTGAGGCAAGTGGATTGCCCAAGTCCAGGAGTTTGAGACCAGATGGGTGACACAGCAAAACCCCACTTCTACAAAACACACAAAAATTAGCAGGACATGGTGGCACACACCCATAGTCCCAGCTACTTGGGAGCCTGCGGTAGGAGGATCACTTGAGCCTGGGAGGCAGAGGTTGCAGTGAGCTGAGATTGAAAAAAGATGTATTTTTAAAAGCCTCTGACCAAGGGCCATGGGAGTGGCTTGTGTAGCATGAGTCCTTCTCAATTGATCTGGATTCCCTACATGCTTATCTCCAAACTACAGCCCTTGGCCCATGCTAGGGACTCTACAAAGAGCGTTCTGTAACTGTGGGCCCAAAACTCTGCACATTTTGAAGCAGAATGTGCCAGCCCGACAGCACTGTTCAGTAATAACATCTGGGTTTATGATTTGTACCTGAGTTTCCCCGTTAACGCTAGTCATGTAGCTAGAATGTGCCCACGTGACTCCCAGCACGAAAAGCCTCTGCGTGTCCTGGGACCGAGATGCTTCACACACACACAGGTAGTGCTTTGAGACTCAGGCACGAAGTGCTCCTGTGTAAGCTAAGGAACATCCACGTGGGTCCCACGGGAAGACACGCATGGGGACGTGACTGTCTTTCTGCGGGTTGGCATGGAAAATGTCCCCCAGGGATCTCCGCCTCATGCTCATCTCTTGAATGTGGGTTGAAACTATTGGCTCTTTCTAGCGAACAGAATATGGCAAAAGTGATGGGATGTCACTTCCAAGAGGAAGTTACAAAAAAAGGTTGTGTTTAGGAGGAAGAGGAGCAGTGGGTGGGTGCAGCGTGGGGCTTTAGGGCTCTGAGACTATTCCTCATGACACCATGATGGGAGTTACGCGTCATTACACAGTTGTCCAGACCCTTAAAATGTATGCCAGGAGTGAACCCTCAGGTAAACTGTGGACTTGAGTTTATAATAAGGAACCAAGGCCAGGCGCGGGGACTCACGCCTGTCATCCCAACACTTCGGGAGGCTGAGGCGTGAGGATCACTTGAGCCCAGGAGTTCAAGACCAGCCTCGGCAACATAGTGAGACCCTGTCTCTACAAAAAATACAAAAAATAGTTGTGCACGGCGGTGTGTGCCTGGAGTCCCAAATACTTGGGAGGCTGAGGTGGGAGGATTATCTGAGCCTGTAGGTCAAGGCTGCAGTGAGCCGTGATCCCGCCACTGCTCTCCAGCCTGGGCAACACAGTGAAACTCTGTCTCAAAAATACAAAAATAAAGTCTATTTATTAGCAAGAGACAGAAAGAGAAAGAGGAATGGGTGGCTCTGGTTTCCACGTGACGCATTTTTTTCTTTTTGAGACACGGTCTCGCTGTGTTGCCCAGGATGGAGTTCAGTGGCACAGTCACAGTTCCCTGCGGCCTCAACTTCCCCAGGCTCATTTGATCCTCCCACCTCAGCTTCCTGAGTAGCTGGGGTCATAGACACACACCACCACGCCCGGCTAAGTTTTGTATTTTTGGTACAGACATGGTCTCACCATGCTGCCCAAGCTGGTCTCAAACTCCTGGGCTCAGGCAATCCTCCTGCCTCAGACTCCCAAAGTGCTGGGATTTACAGACCATGCCCAGCCTGACACACTCTATCTCCTTCCTTCTCTCAGGGCCCTTGCTCTGGGGAAAGCCAGCTGTGGTGCTGTGGGCAGCCTGAGGAAAGGTGCCCCCATGGAAAGACACGAGGTCTCCACCCAGCAGTGTGGTGGGCCTGAGGCCACAGGAGCCACCTGCAAGCCGCTGGAGCCCAACTGAGCCTTGAGGTGCCTGCTTCCATGAGACCCCGCGAGCCAGAGGCAGCCAGTCAAGAGGCACCCAGATTCCTGCCCCACAGAAACTGAGGTAATAACGTTGTTTAAAGCCACTGCATTTGGAGGTAATCCTGTTACACAGCACTAACTGATAGAGTTGGGCCCCTGCATCAGTCATGATTCTCAGTGAGTTGTCTCGCCCTTAAGCTGAGGGCTGGAAAGCCCAAAACCCAACATTGTCGTAAGAAACAGTGTTACCTTGGCACCCAAAGACACCCAGGGCCAACACTCAGAAACGATGCTGTGTCCCACAGGGGTGAGGTCACTGCTGTGGGAGTCAAGAGCTAGGTAAGACTGAATGGCCCTGGCCAGGCGCAGTGGCACACGCCTGTAATCCCAGCATTTTGGGAGGCTGAGGCAGGCGGATCACTTGAGGTCAGAAGTTCGAGACCAGCTTGGCCAAGAGCCAACAGGGTGAAACCCCATCTCTACTAAAAATACAAAATTAGCTGGGTGTGGTGGTGCACGCCTGTAATCCCAGCTGCTTGGGAGGCTGAGAAAGAATTGCTTGAACCCAGGAGGCAGCGCTGACATGGCACCACTGCACTCCAGCCTGGGCAATAGAGCAATACCTCAGTCTCAAAAAAAAAAAAAAAAGAAAAAGCACTGACTGTCCCCTTTAGCTTTGTTATTTTTGTCAATGACACATCAGTAAAGCTGGTGGGGGAAGAATGGTGGGGTCCGCTTGTTATGCTCATACCCGGAGTCGTATGTAGCTATTTCTATTATGGGTTGTTTTTTTGTTTGTTTTTGAGACAGAGTCTCACTCTGTTGCTCTGGCTGGAGTTCAATAGTGTGGTCTTGGTGCAACCTCCACCTCCTGGGTTCAAGCGATTCTCCTACCTCAGCCTCCCAAGTAGCTGGGATTACAGGCGCCCGCCACCACACCTGGTTAATTTTTGAATTATTAGTAGAGATGGGGTTTCACTGTGTTGGCCAGGATGGTCTCGAACTCCTGACCTCAGGTGACCCACCTGCCTCGGCCTCCCTAAGTGCTGAGATTACAGGTGTGAGCCACCGCGCCCAGTCTGTGTTATCTTTTTGTGGCATGTGTTCTGTGTCTTGTCCCCACCTTTAATTGTAGCTATATTTTATGGCATTTTATAGTCTGTAAGTTCTTGTATGTCATTTGCTCCCTTTGCAATAGAAATTGTTATTTCCATTTCACAGCTGAGGCTTAGGAAGGAGGTGAGTGCTGGAATTACACAGCTGAATCGCTCTAAGGTCTCCAGTTCTCTTTTAGGAAATATATATCAAGCAGCTGCTAAATATGCTGTTCTCTGCTGGCTGCTGCCAGAATACTGACCAGAGCGGCTCCTGTCTGTGTGGTACCTCCCCTGCCCAGGCCTGGTACTCGCCGCTGAACACACGACTTTATCTCAGCCCCATGACAATGCTGGACGTGCAAGATGCTGTGATTCCCGTCACACCCAAGGAAATGGGCACAGACCGAGGAGTGCCTTGCCCAGGGTCACCGGCAGTAAGAGGAGGAGCTGGGGTGTCACACCCAGGCAGCTAGTTCCAAAGTTCCTGCTCTTAATGACTGCACTGTGGTGTCTCAGACCTCAGCAGGTGGGAGCCAAGCCACACAACCCCCACCACAGGGGTCAACAGCAACGGGGGGAGAGACCGAAGCGGCACTGTGGCTCATCAGTGGGGTCACGGGAACCAAAGCAGTGGTGCTGGGAGAGAGAAGGGTTCCTGGGAACTGTGGCTGGAAGAGGACGTGGGACCTGGGGCCGTAGAAACCTCCACCATGCCGGCTCCCGAGGCCCCCAGAGTGACGGGGAACATTCTCTGAGACCTCCTGGCCACACTGTGTGTGTGTCCATGATCTAAGCTGGCCTCTGACACTGGTAACACCCCCTCTGACCACCACTGGACAGGCCTGTACCCCGCTGCACTGTCCCAGAGCCATGTTCCCAGGCTCTGCGGCATAGCCTCAGCCTGCAGCTCCTGCTGGGCCTGCCATTGAGGACGGGAGCTGAAGGCTGCGCTGCACAAGATGTGGGCCAGGGACCAGAAGAGCCAGCACAACGGGGGCTGCTTAGAAACTCCCTGGTCAGGCTGGGCACGGTGGCTTAGGCCTGTAGTCCCAGCACACTGGAGGGCTGAAAGGGAGGATCACTTGAGGCCGCGAGTTAGACAGCAGCCTGGGCAACACAGCAAGAACCTAACCCTATTAAAAAAAAAAAAAATTAGTTGGACCTCCCAGCTACTCAGGAGTTTAAGGCAGGAGGATCAACTGAGCCCAGGAGTTCAAGGTTGCAGCGAGCCAGGATCACGCCACTGCACTCCAGCCTAGGCAACAGAGCGAGACCCTGTTTGTAAAAAATAATAAATTTTTTGTTTTTGTTTTTCAGATGGACTTCCTCTCTGTCACCCAGGCTGGAGTGCAGTGGCGTGATCCTGGCTCACTGCAACCTCCACCTCCCGGGTTGAAGCAATTCTCCTGCCTCAGCCTCCGAGTAGCTGGGATTACAGGTGCATGCCACCATGCACAGCTAATTTTTGTATTTTCAACAGAGACGAGGTTTCACCATGTTGGCCAGGCTGGTCTCGAACCCGACCTCAGGTGATCCACCCACTTTGGCCTCCCAAAGTGCTGGAATTACAGGCGGGAACCACTGAGTTTATAATAAGGTACCAAGGCAAGGCGCGGTGGCTCACGCCTGTCATCCCAACACTTCGGGAGGCTGAGGTATGAGGATCACTTGAGCCCAGGACTTCAAGACCAGCCTGGGCAACATAGTGAGACCCTGTCTCTACAAAAAATACAAAAATTAGTTGTGCATGGCAGTGTGTGCCTGCAGTCCCAATTAACATCTTTTTAAAAGAGGCTGGGCACGGTGGCTCACACCTATAATCCCAGCACTTTGGGAAGCCAAAGTGGGCGGATCCCTTGAGTCCAGAAGTCCAAAACTGGCCTGTGCAACATAGTGAGACCCTGTCTCTACAAAAAATAAAATCAGCCAGGTGTGGTGGCGCATCCTATGGTCTTAGCTACTTGGGCGGCTAAGGTGGGAGTGTGGCTTTAGTCTCGGAAGTCAAGGCTGCAGTGAGCCAAGATCACGCCACTGCACTCCAGCTTGGGCAACAGAGCAAGACTCTCTCAAAAAAATAAATAAAATCAACAACAATTTTAAAAAAAAGGTGGGTTGCAGCAGCTCACACCTGTAATCTCAGCACTTTGGGAGGCC